CGCCGCTGGAGTCGGCGGGGGCCGCCGCGGCCGCCGTGGGGCCGGGCGGCGACGATACCGACACTGAGGCCGAGGCGGCGGGTGGCGCGCGGCGCTTCCTCTGCGGCGTCGTGGAAGGTGAGGGGGGAGGCCTCGACGCGTGTCCCGTGCTGGGAGCCCCCCCTTTAACCCTTTGTTGGCGGCCGGGTAAAGGTGTTGTTTGGAAAGGCGGGGGGTTTATCCCCCACCCCCGCCTCTCAAATGCTCGTCTACTCCCGTCTTCATTGTTAAAGTGTGTGTGGGGGGTTCTTTTGTACTGAAAGGGGTGGAAGGTGAAGCTAGAGAGTGGCACACACTTGTGTTACTTCCCATCAGCACACCTTCGCTTTGCGGCCAGAGCCGTGTGAAACCGGGACGTTTCTCATGGGGGGCAGGCAGATGGCCGTACCTTTCTGCTTGCTGAGTCCTGTTCAGCTTAAATATCGAGCGTTTCCTGCCTTCTAGCCCCCTCTCCCCCTCCTCTTGCGAGGTTACTTGATTGTTTCCAGAGGTCCCAGCTATATTGGGCTAAGCGAGGCTCGAGTCTTCTGGCCTAGCTCCCAACAGCTGTTCGTGTGGCTGCACACAAGAGGTGGAGATGAAATGTAGACTCGGATGCACAAAGCAACAGCGAGGGGATTTGTGTAGGGTGTGAAATGCAATGAGGGGGGAAGGGCTGCAGGTGGGTGTAAGAGTAATAGGGCAGATCGTGAGTGGCTTCTAGAGCTTGTTGGGACACAAGCAGTGGGTTGGGGATGAGGCTCTGGCGAGTCCGCATGCAGGTAACAGGCTGACGGTTGAGTTTGCTCAGAAATACCTTACTGTTGTCGTTAGCTGACGTGTCTGGGCCTTCTCATTCAAAGGAGTGCTGCCAGGTGAAATAGCTCCGAGGCAGGGTAGATGCACTCCTTCTCTACAGTGTAACTAAATCAGATGCATGCAAGCACAAGCTTTTGCAGGCTTCAGATGCTGTGAAAGGACAGCACAGAGCAGCAGGGTGTGAAGTGGAGGGTGCTTTGAATAGGAAAGGTGGGGAGTGGGAGGGGGACTGAGGGTGGGGCAGAGGTGAAATGGAGCAGCCCAGTCACTTATCTACATTTTCTTTTCAGCATTCCTGCCTCAACCCTGTCCTTCATTATTCACTTCCTTTGTTCTCTTGATTTTGCTCCAGATTGCTACATGCTTAGTTTTCAGGTGGTCTGATGTCTCTCTGAACATGTTACAGAAATAGAAAGCATTGACTAAATGCCACTTTAATTAGGTCCCTCTGTGATTAGGTAGGCTGGCTTTCCTAATTTAAGAGGAAACTGCAGCTCTGTTGCCTCTGAAAATCAAGAGGATTTGTCCCCTTACCTTGTTTGCTTTTTACGTGCCACAACTGCTTCCTTCTGTCACACTGCTGTGCACCTATCCGCCATTTGTCAGGTTCCAGTTTCAGCCAGATGGAAGCAGTAGTACCCAGCTTTGCCGCTTTGTGGCATCAATCAGCTGAAAATTGCTCTTTTCAGGAAGTGTAAGCCCTTAAGAGCTGAGCCTACTTTGAGGTCCTCAAAGCTAACATCACAGGGGTGACTTTTAATTGATAATTGGAATTATTTTTACCACATAGGCAACTCTCAAATGATCTGTTCTAAATAGATAGAGAGCACAGACGGGCTTTGATCAATAGCCTGATGTTTTACAGTATTGACAGTAGGTCGATAGCTGTGGAAGTAGAAGGGCTTTTCACCTTCAGATTTGTTTGCAGGGGCCTCTAGACTTAACTATATTAATGGCATCATTCCACATCCGGAGTGGCCATGGTGTCTGAAAATGAGAGCTTATTAAATTTCAGTGTTATTTTAGTCTTGGATCCGTTGCACAGACTGCCATCCTGAGGCTTTCTAATGTGAACTGCGCACTTGTCACTAGAGTTGGCTCATGGTCCAAATTAAATTAATCGAAGGATGGTGGGCAAGTGAGGAGCACTTTGCTCTTCCAAGTATTTTTTGTATAGAGTGGGCTGGATGGAAACACTTAGGTTTGGCATTCCTCCTGGAGTTTTCTGGCATGGAATATGGGCTATGCAAAAGCTTCCTTTTTGTGCCCCCTTGCACTGTTTCTTACAAGTTGAGATTGCATCTTTAAAGCCCAAGTCTGTGCACAGAGTGCAGGATGGCCTAGCGTAGTGTTTTTTAGCTGATGCTGGCAATTTCAGGAATTTCGTCAAATGAAAAAAGAGAACAAATCTTGACAGACCAGCCAAGCTGTCTTCTGTTTCATAAACCCCACTGTATAACTGTTTGAGCACCACATGCCCAGTTTCCCATACTGTCTGTTTTAAAAGGTATTCTCGTACTGGTAAGTATTTTCAGAACTTCGTATTATTTGTGTGGTTACAGTTAATACTATTTAATGTATTTTGAGTGCTGCCTTAATTGGGTCATTATTACTGTTCAGGCTGATTTTTCTAGTAATGCTGATTTGACTTGAGCAGATGTCCTTCACAGAAATTCAGATTTTGTTCTTAAAATCGATTGCTTCACTAGCCAGAATCGTTAGTCTGGATAACAAATTAATTGGGGTATAATTCAGTTGAAAATTAAGATAATTTTAGCATATTATATTTACACTGTTAAGGCAGGGTTTATTTCTGACTGCCAGCATTTTATGATGAATATAGTAAAAACATCTTTTTGAGAGAGGAGAAAAAGAAAGAGGTAGGTTATGCTATAATCTCTGTTCTGTGAAATGGCCAGTCGGGTGTTTGTTTATTTTTTAATTTAATTTCCCACAGGATTTTATGGAAGACCCTGGATTATGGAGCAGAGGAAGGAACTTTTTAGAAGGCAAGTCATACTTCCCCTTGGTGTGCAACATTCCAACATAGTAAAACTATTATTTTTCACTTTGTAAGCCTATTTGCGCCTGATCTGGGGCAGTATTTCATGTAAAGCTATTCAAGTTGTTTACATTTTCCTCTTCATTTTGCTCTGGCTCTTCTGGGTTTGTCAAGTCACTCAGACTCAC